TCCCTCTCTCGCTGTGTCTCTCTCTGTCAAATAAATAAATAAAATATTAAAAAAAAAAAAAAAAAGAGCTAATGTTTCAGAGTCCCAGCCTTGGTCAAAGAGCTACATACTGTGTGCTTTGGAGACATTGTCTCATTTCACCCTGATGACTGTCCCTGGGTGAGTAGAGCTATCATTCCCATTTTAGAGATGAGAGAACTGAAATAATTTGCTCACGTTCACCGAAACATTTGAACCAAACTCAAAAAGGCCACTGAGCTCCAAAGCCAATCTCAACTACAAGGCCATGTGGGCCCCTATGCCCAGTGGGCACTGTTGCTCAATACACATTTGCAGAAAGAATCTTATTTGGATCTTTATGGCTCAGCACAATAAGGGTCAGAAGATTTGATCCTAGGCCCCCAGGACTGGTCTAGTCCCTGCACACCAGTCCATCTCTCTGAGTCTGTATTTCCTCATCTGTAAAATGGAAATAAATACCCTTTCCCTGCTGACCTCACGGGAGCCTTTGCCTCCATCTTCTCCCCTACAGCTCTCCCTTCCCTCCCCAGGTCTCAGCTGGGCAGGCAGCAGGCACCCACCGGAGGAAGATGTGGCTGCACTGTTTGCGGATGTAGGCCCGGAGCCCCAGGAACTTGCCATAGACCCGGTGCAGGATGGTCTTGAGGTACTCACGCTCCCGGGGGTCCTCACTATCAAATAGCTCCAGGAGCTAGGGGACCCAGGGTCAGGGGTCAGGGGGGAGGCCAAGCCCAGGTCGTTTCCATCCTATCCCCACACCCTTCAGAGAGCCTGCCCCTGTCCCATGGCACCACCCGGCCTGGGCTCCCCACTTCACCATCAGCACAAACTTTTGATCCACATATCTCTTGGCCACGGAGGGTTGAAAATCTGGGCTCTCCAAGAAACGCAGGAAAAACTCATATACCAGCTGGGAGAGGGGACAGACAAAAAAGGTGAGTTCAGGAACAGCCTCCCTCTTCCCCCTGCCGTATGGCCCCCTTCCGCCAGTCTACTTGACCCTCTCCCCTCTACTGAAACTCAGCGTCCTGCCTTCCCCAGCCCCCATACCTGCAGATGTGGCCAGGAAGGCTCCAGGTTGGGTTCATCCTCTTCAGGATCAAATTCAGGGTTCTCACTGGGTGGTAGGGTCCTGAAGATATTCACTGAGATCTGAAGGGCAGGATCAGGGTTCTTTTAGGAAGAGCCCTCAAAGGCAGAAGTCAGGAGGTCTCTTATCCAAAGTTCTAATGAGCCTCAGCACCTGCCTCAGCAAGCAATTCACTCCTCATCAATCATTACCTGAACACACGGAAGCCCTGGGCCGGGGGCTGGGGACCCAGAAATAAACAAGACACATCCCCGCCCTCTACTGGGCACAGTCCAGTGGGGAAGACAAGATGTTAAGTGGTAAGGTCTACAGACCTTCTAGTCAGCACAAAGGAGATTTCTAGCTTGAACACTGAGAAGCCTCATGAAAGAAGCAGCACCTGAGCCAGGCCATGGCAATAGGGACATGGTGGGAGTGCACACCAGGCTACAGGAGAGCATAAGCCAAAGTGCAGGGTGGGTCAGGCCCAGGAGGCACTGAGGGACCTACTCAGGCCAGATGCAGTGGGGCTGGGGGATGGGGGGGGGAAGAAAGATGGGGGCCTTGAGGCTAAGCCAAAGAGAGGCAGGTATTCCTTGCAGAAGAAGGGGACCACAAGCAGGTCAGTAGGGTTCCATATCCCCCAAGCCCTCCCCCAGAGGTCAGGGGCCAGGTGCTTACCATGCGGATGATGTCTGGGTAGACAGGCTCAATGAGGACCCCCCGGGTGCTCCCCACACACTCCACCAGCTCATTGAGTGCTGCCCGCTTCACCTCCTTCCCCTTCAGGTCAGCCACACAGTCCAAAAAGTCAAACATCACCCCACACTGGGCCAGCTTCCGGCTCAAGAGCTCGTGCAGTTCCGAGGCTGGCACATCTGGGGAGAAGGGAGGGGGCTGAGCCTGCGCCCCACTTACCACAGCTCTGGGCATCGGCGTGCCCTCCGAATCCACAGAGCAGCTTCCCCTGCCCCCAGACCCCCTGCTCTTGTGACATCCTCCACTCTTTGCAAGGAGCAAACGACTCCTGTCCCATCCTCCATTCCTGCAGGGTAAAGGAGCTGCATCTCTTCCTCCCAACCCAGGCTCAGACAGCATGATGGCCTGACTTAAAGCAAGGTAAGAAACCCTGGATGCCCGGCTTTCCACAGGTGCCCAAAACCACCATGCCTCCCTCTCATAGCTGGCACTCTGTTCTAAGAGCCAGAAATGAGAAGGAGGGTGGGGGCTGAGGATTTCTTGGGTGCTCTCTGGCTCAGCCAGTCGAGGGCCCTGTGACCCAGAGGTGGGGAGACTACATGGTGATCACAGGGAGCCATGCTGAGCACTTGCTCAGGACCCTAGCAGTGGCCTCCGGGAACCCAGGCTATGGGCCCCACCCTTGGCCCTGGTCTGCCCCCCAGGGTGGCGCCACTTCCAGATGCCCCACCTCCAAGGATGACAGGCCAGTCAGGCCATGCGTCAGCAGAGAGGGCTGGAGGCCTGGGGGGTGGGGGTCATCTCCAGTGGTGGAGTCCCTTGCCTGGAAGGGGCCATCTAAACCCTCTAATCACAGCTGCCAGTGCTTATCGCTACCTGCTGCAGCCCTGCTTGCCCGCTGTGGGACTCAGGTACCCTGGCAGCCAGCAGCAGGGCTCACCTTTGAGCAGGGGCAGTGGAGTGAGCTCTTGCTGGTTGCTCTGATAGCGGAACTGGGAGGAGCTATGGGAGCGCCGGGGCCGGGCCCTGCGGAGGGAACGGCGGGAGAAGCCATCCACCTTGTCGGGTGGGGGCACAGGCGATAGCCCTGGGGAAGAAGGGCTGGTGGGGGTGCTTGCAGGGGGCAGCTTTGTCTCCATGGTGGCCAGGTGGTGGGTCAAGCCTTCAGAGCCCCTGGGGTTCCCTCTGGGCCTGGAGGATGCCGAATGGGGTGAGGCTGACTAACTTGGGCCCATGCTGGGGGGGGGGGCACACAACCACAGTCTGGGCCCCCCCCCAGGGCCTTCGGCAACTGCCCAGTCCTGGGGGGCAGGCAGAGTAGAGAGGAGGATGGCTCAGGCCTCAGGTCCTTCCTGGGGGTCCCGAAGAGTCCAGTTAGGGTTCTCACCCTGGCTCTTTTGAAAATGTAGTCAGGGCAGAGAGACCAGCAAAAGAAACAGAGAGAGCCTGTCAGTTCTTCCAGGAAAGACAGTGTGTGGGGCTGCCCAAGTCCGAGCGCTCAAGTCTTCTTTTCCCTCCCAGATCCTAAATACAGGTGCAGTCCCTTCCCACAGGAGCATGTCCCACCCTTCTCCCAGACCTTAAGATCCCAGGCTCCAAAACAACCCCTCTTGGGATAGGGCCTATCCCCCGAACCAGCCCCTACCTAGAATGGGGAACCCCATCCCAAGCCCTGGCCCCTAAAAGAATGGGGCCCCCTTCCGCTCCACTAATCCAGGCCACCAGCGACTTCCCCAAGAATGGGGGCCCTATCCCCACACCACCCCTCCCTCCTAAAATCTGGCAACCTTCTCCACCTCAGCTCCTCCTTCCTTGCCCCCCAAATCTCATCTGCCTCCTGGTGGGGGGGAACACTCACTTCTCAGAAGCCCAGACTTCCGTCCCCAACCACCGGGGGCTGCGGGTGGGGAAGGGGCCGCTGTTCAGGTCTCCTTCGCAGCGGTTCCGCTCCAGGCGCTGGCTCTGGGTGGCGGCGCTCCTGGGTTCTCTCTCGGGCTCCGGGAGAGCCGGAGCATGCCCCCAGCTCAGCCCCAGGTCGGGTGCGGGCGTCCGGTGCGCTCTGGGCTACCCCGGCAGCGTGCAGACCTCTCCTCAAGTCTTGGGACCCGACCCAGCGCGGCGTTGCGCTGCGGGAGCCCCGGCTCTGTGCGCACCGGCACCCGCCGCCCAGCTGCTCAGGATGACATCAAGTCACCTCCCCCCGCCCGGCCCGCACCTCCCCGAGGGCTGGGGGGGTGGAGGGGGGTGCTGCGTCAGAAAGTTCCCAGGGCCACTGGGAGATGTAGTCCCCGCACTGCTTAAAGGGGGATGCCAGACCGAAGGGGTAACCCCTGCAGGGGCCTGGGGTCAAAGCTTAAGCAGAGTGGGATGGGGTCCACCTGGGGCTAGGCTCCCACGTTCTAGAAAGGAGACTGCATCGGAAGAGAGGACTCGGGAGTCTGCACCAGGAAGCTGGGGGTGAGGCCAGGACCGTGACAGGAAAGAGGCCCAATCCTATACCAGGCCCAAAGATTTGGCCTGCTTCATCCGTGCCCCAGGCATTCCACCCGCGGGGGAATCCCACCCTCACCGCAGAATGGCCGCACACTTCAAACCCACTTGGAAACGGGCACTGAACTGGTTAATAGTCTGCAGTGAACCAGTGCCTGCTGGGAGAGGTGTGGTGCACCCAAGACTGCTGGGAAATGCAGTCCTCCCTCAGGCCTGCAGTCCCCCTCCCATCCCTTGCTGTCTATGGTGACATCATGGTGTAGGGTTTAAAGGGCCAGCTTGGAATGGCAAAGCATCCGAGCAGTGGGTGTTCCCTGGGGCGCCATCCCGCCCCAGGCAAGCTGGCCTCCCTGGACAGACCTCCCTTCGCCCCTCTAGGCCTTAAGATGTGATAGTGGGGTCTCTTGTTCAAAATTCTACTGCAGGGCATCCAGGGTACAGGTGGGATTCCAGGAGTTTGGCATTCTGGACAAAAGTTCCTGGCCTACAGTCTTGGGCCTCCTTCTTAGGACCCTGGACCCCAACACCCTTTATATCTCTTAACTCCATCCCCTACACTTCACTGTGAAATCTCCACCCAGAAGTTTTGCCTGGATGAACAACTAACTGGTTCATGTAAGCGGCGGGAACGGGCAATGAGACTTGGACACTGAGGTCAGGAAGGGGACTGGGGCCATTTTCAGAGTCTTCTTAACCCTGCCTTAAGCCTTGGTGACCACCTAGCCATCTTCCCTGAGAGGTGCCCACCTGCTGGAGCAACAGAAAGCAAAGGCCATAGTTTAGCCAGGTGGGCGTAAGGGCTCTACGACTGAGGAGCTGGCCAGAAGCCCCCCTGCTTGGTAATCTTCAGCCAGCCTTGTCCACCTTGCCCTTGGTGTCCTTATCTGTCAAATGAAAACCCACAATTTTCTCCTTGCCTACCTCCCAGGCTCAGAAAGTGAAGCCCGTCCCATATCCCTGCAGAAAAAGCTGGGGGACAGCAGGCCCACAGAGCCTTCTCCAGCCAGGTGAGAACCCCCAGGCCCAGAAAAGAGAAGTGCTTTGCCCAAGGTCGCAAAGCTAGGACCACAGATCTCCCAGCCTGAGTCAGGAGGGCACCAGCTCCAGCCTCCCACGCTAGGCTCCCTGGAGGCTAGTGCCCTGAACTCTGAGGGTCTCCAGGCCAGAATGAGGGTGTGAAGGGTTCATGTTTTATAGAAAGGGTGCGTAAAAATTCTTTTTTAAAATCATCATTATTGAGATACCATTCATATACTATACAGTTCACCTACTTTGGCATTGTCATTTAATGAGTACAGAGTTTCGGTTTTCCAAGATGAAAAAGTTCTGGATATTGGTTGCACAAAAATGTGAGTATCTCTAACACTACTGAATTGTACATGTAGAAATGGTTAAGATGGTAAAATTTGTGATGTGTAATTTACCACAATTTAGACAAAATGCAAAATCCAGGCCCTCCACCATGGATCAAGTCAAAAGCCACAGCCCCCAGGCTACCTTCCATGATCCCTTCCACACCTATCCAAAGGCCACTGAGGGAATTCCCTGAGGGGCTTCTTCTGGGTGGACCATCCCTGGGAAAGGGAGAGCCTCCCCCCAAGGCCCTTGAGGCCTACAGCGCCTGGGTTGCCTATTGAGTTTCTACCTAATCTAATATGGAGAGGCCCCTCAAGGGGCCCCACAAAGCCTGACCCTCCCCCCTTTTATCTCTGTAGAGAGGAACCGTGGCCTGGGTCTTCATCCCAGAAATATATGAGGGGCCCCCACACCACCTTCCCTCCCGAGAACATACCATTCTCTTTACTCCGTATTTTTTATTCTCCCATTCAGCTCTGCTCCAAGGCCCGGGCCAGGTTGTGGAAGGACTAGGTCTTTGGAGTTGGTCTTCTGTGGATCTCATGGTACACTGGGGGAGGCAGCAGGAAAGACTTTTGTGCCCCTCTGAGTCCTGTTTATTCCTGTTGTGGTGCAGACACTGCTCTATGTCACAGATGTGAGTACAGCCTCACTGGAGGGAAGCTGGCCCAAGAAGCAGCCACCCAGATTGGGGGCCTGGGTACTGGGAATGGCTCTGTGTTCCCAAGCTTTGTACATGATGCACCCCATTCTCACAGCAGGGGAATGACCCCCTCTCTTAGTCTGGACATCAGGATAACTTTCCCTAGACTCCAGAATACACCCTTCCAGTTCCCACTGCCTTTGGGAGAAGTGATGTTTGTTCATTCACTTGCTCCATAGGCTCTTAGACACAGAGCCTCAGTTTTCCTCTCCTGTAAAATGGGGATATCAATAGTACCTCCCTCCAAGGGTGTGGTGAAGAGCAGATGAAGTAATGCCTATAAAGTGACAAGCCCATGGCCCAGGACATCACACAGGCTCAATTCATGGTGTCTATCACTTTAATTATTATTAATTTAATAAACATGTGATGAACACAACACTGCCCCTAGCCTGTCATGGGGAAAGACTGATCTTTTGATTCGTTCCACAAGCATTTCCCAGTTAGCCTGCCTCCTTGAATGGAAACTTCCCAGGGCTTCCCCAAATTCTCTTTGAGGTTGTTCCTTAGTCCCTTCCAAGTAAATGAGCTATACCACCTACTAACCCAACCCCAGGTTACAGGGGATAGAACAGGCTCCTGGAGGACAGTGACTTGCCTTAGGCCACACAGGACTGGACTCCAGGTCCCTGCCCCTCAGGCCAGGATGTTTGCCCTTGCTTCAGGCTTACTTTTAGCATTAGATTGCAGTAGAGTCCCCCTCCCTTGTAAGGCTAAAATAGGATTATAATTACCTTTGGGTATCCTTTAAGTCACCCATGATGTAAGAGGGCTTGGGTGACCAACCCTGTTGAGCAGGAGTTGGCAAACTTTCTGTAAATGGCCAGAAAACAATCATTTGAGGCTTTGCAGTTACCCCCCCACCTTGCGCCAAGTGCTCAACTCTGCTGCTGTAGCAAGAAAGCAGCCCCAGACAGTACTTAATCAAGTGAGTGTGCCTGTGTTCCACTAAAACTTTATGGATACTCACATGTGAATTTTATGACATTTTCATGTGTCATGAAATCTTATTTTTTGGATTTTTTTCAACTACTTAAAAATGTAAAAAAAAAAAAAAAGCAAATAAAAATTGTACAAAAACAATAGACCCCTGCTCAAGGGATTTAAAATCCTTTCGTTATTAATTTTAGGTTAGAGATAAGAAAAACCATCGTTTTTTTCAGAGGAGCTGGAGGCCTGACCAAATGCAGAGAGAAGGGAGGGTGGGTAAATCTCCTGATCAGCATTCCAGGTGAGGAGTGGTGAAAAAAGATTTCCTTGGTGATGGACTTACAGCAACCTTTACAAATTTGCTTTCTTATTTGTAAGATGGTTTTCTTATCTGTAAAATCGACACCTTAGAGGATTATAAGGGTTGAATGAGATAAAAGACGGTAAAGCGTTTTGTAAAATGCAAATGCTTACTCACTTAATTGTTTCTACGACGCGTGCTGGAGCTCTCACACAGACTCTTACTCCTCTGGGAAGCTTCCTATTAAGTTTGATGGGACTTTGTCCCTTTAAATTCTCCCCAACTACCTCAAGGAGGTGGACCAGTCGGCGCATGCGCATTCCTCCGCGGGGCTGGCACCTCAAGCCCCAGCCTTCCCAGAGCCCGTAGAAGGAAGACTAAAGGTCCTCCCACACAGAATTTTTACGCAGGCGTAAATCGAGATTGGGAGCACTATATCATGCAGAGAGCCCCGTCCCTTTTTCGTGCTCAAAGACTCCGCCCCCCGCGGCCAATCAGTAGGCCTCGCCCTTTACAATGGCGAATGGCAGTGAGCGTGGGGGGCGTGGCTGAGGGCCCGGGGGCGCGGCCTGGCGCTGAGAGAAGCGGCGGGGACAGCCGGGGGCTCTAGTGAACAGCGAAGCCGGACAGGGATTGCCGGCGGGCGGCGAGCGGAGGCGGCCTGGGCCCGGCGGTCTCCGAGATGTCACGATGGCTGTGGCCATGGTCGAACTGTGTGAAAGAGCGGGTATGCCGCTACTTGCTGCACCACTACTTGGGTCACTTCTTCCAGGAGCACCTCAGCCTGGATCAGCTCAGCCTCGACTTGTACAAGGGCAGTGTTGCCCTGCGGGATATCCACCTGGAGATCTGGGTGAGGAACGAGGCCCGAGATCGGGAAGCGGGGGAGCAGTGCGCAGAGACCTGAGGATCCTGGCTGAAGGGTCAGGCTGGGGGACCGGGCAGAGGGCGTGAAGAGGCTGTGGAGTCAGGCCCTTTCCAGGCGACTGATCGGCTTCGGAGTCAGAAGCTGGGTGGGAAGGGGGTTCCTGCCTCCACTTCCCAGGAGGAGAAACTGAAGCTGAGGAAGGGGGTGTCACTTGTCTGGAGAATGCCAGAGTAAGCACATCGAGTTTGGGGCCCGAGTTGAGAAGCGTGGTCCTGAGGAGCTGAGGAGAAGGTTAAGAGGGAGCGAAGGAACTAGGGGGGCCTCTGACAGAACCCGTCCGGGGCAGTGACAGAGTTGGAGCCTTGCAGCTAGCTGGTGAGGCAAGGCTGGTGTAGGGGTCCCGAGTCCTGCTGAGAGCACCTGTGGGAAAGGTGCTCTGACCTCCTGACCCTCGGATCCTGGGCCAAGTGGGTGGGGTTCGCCTCAGGACCGGGATGTCAACAACCGCGTCAGCACCCGTGTTGATCAACACCTCGTGTGACTGCCTCGGCTGCCTACTTCCTGCTTTGGGGAGAGTGGGATGGACCCAGTGGTGTTTGGGGAGGGGCTTGGGAATGGGCCTCCCTACCTGCCGGGAAGCCCCTGAGGAAAGGTGGAGAGGTTTGGCTTCAGACAGGGAGGAGGCCAGGGGAGATGCTGGGGAGGCAGGGAGGAATAGGTCTGGGTCAGAAGCCTGAGGCTGGGGGTGGTGAGGGGCAGTGACTCAACTCATCTGAACTGGGAAGTTGCAAAGGAGCCATCAATTAGAGGCATCAGGCCAGGACTGGCACGGGGTCAACCCCCCACTCCAGAGCAGCAGGGGTGGGCATGGGGTCAGGGGCTTCTCAATTTTCTGGCTGAGCAGACGAAATCTGGGGCAGGAAGAGCTGAGCTTTAGGGGTAGGCCAGGACTTCCTGAGCAAATGTAGAGGCAGAGGGAGACATCCAAGCCCAGAGGTGGGGACACCTCCCGATAACCTCTTGTCTATGAATCCTAGTGGAGGCCTTTTGTGACCTCTGACTTTTAGACTGGCCTGAAAGAAATGGCCAAGACCTCTAGGCTGCTGCTTTCTATTTCCAGTCCCAGAAAACACTCCCACTCTGCCCTGCCTTGCCCTGCCTTGCCCTGCCCTGCCCTGCCCTCTTGGTGGGGATCGAAATGGCTCCTAGCTATGCTGCTTTCTGGGCTGGCCTCCAGGGAGAAGTTATCCCCTGGTGAAAAGCAGGTGCTTTCATAGCCAGCCCCTCCTCCCACCCACTCAGCCTGCAGCCCCCGCCTTGAAGACCCCAGAAGAAGCTGAGTGCCTGGGATGGGGTGAGGAGAGAGGCCTGTCTCCCAGTTGTAGTCCTCACACTACACTGAGTGATTAAACTAGTTCCTTCTCTCTAGGCCTCAGTTTCCTATCTGTGGATGTCTGGGTAAGGAGTTTCAACTTGACCTCTATAAGCCTTCTAGTTTTGCCATGTGTTTGTTTATTCTTGGATCCAAC